GCAAAACAATGAAAAATTACTATGCATGGCTTAGATAAGGAAAAAGTCAATTCTTTACCCTGCTAATTGTTCATATTTTGGCTTTGCCCCCCTGAGATTGCTATCTAGCTCCGCCACTGAGGTCAATAATGTCTTGTAGCTCATGAGCATGAGAAGAATCCGCCATCTGAAGCTTTAATTTCAGGCCACGGAGAAGGTTTTGCAAAGCTGGTCTTTGGCAGACTGAAATAAACGCCTGGCTGTCAAATTGTTCTCCAATCTTATCATACACTTGTTTGGCAAGTGTAGTTTTACCCAAGCCTCCAGAACGCAAGATGGAAACCACTCAGTTTCTTTTGTGAATCTGTCAACCAACCAACAAGCTCTTCTCTCGGGCCATCAATACCGATGAGACCTACCTCCTTGAAGATCGCTGACACCCAACCACATTGCCATGACTCGAATTGATGCAATTATCAATCTTGTACTGCTCGTGCCGAGCATTTTCCTCCAACACAAGAACCTTGAGCTACTCGATCCGGTTGACAATCCGATGACGCCTTCCCAACCTCTTGAGACGTTGAGACATCTTCCTGACAAAACCTTTCTTTACATGGGCACCCTCAATGCGATGAATGAAGGCATTGATGCAATCCTCCATATCATAGGATATCTCACTGACATGTTTCCTCCAGTTCTTGGCCGAGGGACCGAACTCATCCATTAGCTCCATCATGTCATGGAGAGATTTCATGGCACTGAGCTCATCCTTGAGGAAGGAGACTTGCTTCTTCACTCCTGTGAGCTTCTTGTACTCCTCGCCAAGTAGTGTTGTCAGCTTGCCGAGGAGAGGGTTCATCACTCCGGTCGTCGGAATCGCTTCCATCCCGATTGAGGAGGCTGGTGAGCTAGCTATTTCTATGTCACAAGGCAAGTAAGCTAGACTGGTAAAGAAAAGCTTAGTGTGTGATGGTACTATTTACACTGGGAGCTACCCCTACTATAGACTTTGAAAATTTGTTTAACTGATACCGTTACTTCTATAGATCCATGCCAAGATTTGAATACTCTAACCATGCATTGGGAATCATATCTTAGCTATTGGGTGCAAGTCTATAACTTTTTCATCCATTGTACGTTCTCGTGGCCAAATGTATAACATGATGCCATATCAACATATGACACAAAGCGACACCCTTTGCATAGGACTCTTAGCTATTTTACAAAACAACAAGAACAATATGGATGCGCTGATGATGGTGCTTGGTGCAAGTGCATTTCTCATGAAGGTACTCGAGGCCTAATGATTTTCATCATCATGGAAGATGTTGAACCTTCTCACCAAACATTGAAGGCTTTCCACTATGGTTGGGATGTTTTTTTGGAGGGGGGGTCCTTACAAAAACACCCTTATAGAAATCTACAAATTCATCTTACATCCACTAACGCTGCCTCTAGGCCTGAAGCAAACTTGTTGAAACCCAAGAGCTTCTAGAAGCAGCGGCAGAGAAAACCAAAAGATGCTGGTGACCATTGTCGGTGTCAAAACCGGCGGATCTCGGGTAGGGTGTCCCGAACTGTGCGTCTAAGGCTAATGGTAACAGGAGGCGGGGGACACGATGTTTACCCAGGTTCGGGCCCTCTCTATGGAGGTAATACCCTACTTCCTGCTTGATTGATCTTGATGATATGAGTATTACAAGAGTTGATCTACCACGAGATCATAGATGCTAAACCCTAGAAGCTAGTCTATGATTATGATTGTTGTTGTCCTATGGACTAAACCCTCCGGTTTATATAGACACCGGA